AATTAGTCTCCTCAACCAAAGAGATGAGAAAGGGAAATCTGGCAGATGTTGGCTACATCTCTTTATAGGAGACGCAGAAGAGCAGCTGTCACAGTAGGGATTGTAGGGATTTCTTGTGAAAGTCGGTAGCAGATGTCACCATCTGCTTCTGCCTTCTCTATGAAACAGAGGCAAAAGGGAGACTGAAAACTTGCTAAAAAAAAAGGTAACAACAAAACCCATAAATCCCAAAGATACCCAAACATACTTACAGTGAGTAGGGGAACCCTTCCCCCTGGGAAACCCATGATCCAGATGCACAATAAAAGCAAAGAACACTCCCCATTCTCTTTAAATCATGATTTCTTTTCATTTTAATCTTACTACACGTCCTTTGACAACATTCAGCCTGCAATCTAACACCTAGCCATTTCCTCCCCGGCTGAAAGAGATCACAGAAATGAGCAGTTGTATCCTTTCCCTCTGGCTATACAGCAATGGTCTGATGACAACTGCTTTACCAGGGTTGGTATCAGACAAACAAAAAATCCCTACTGAATGATCTACACAATGATGTCATGTGCGGAGGCAAAGTATTTATTACTTAGGCAAAAAAACCCCAACAAAAAACAAACAAAACTTCTGTTGCATTGTGTCAGGAAACATGCTGTACATGTTTGTACATCTTGGCAGATAAAGATCAGATGAGGCAAGCAATGAAGTGGTTAACCAAATCAGAAAGTTATCTCAGACATCCAAAGGCACATCTTGTAAACCTGAGAAAACTTCTTACACAGAACTGAGGAGAAAAAAAGTAAGGGCTTGCCTGGGAAGAAACAAATGACGCTGTCAACAAGTAGTTTGCTTTCTCACTCAGAAAAGAAGGTATTAGTGAGATCCAGAGCCCAACAAAAGAACAGGAATCTTTCCAATGGTATAAAAACCGGCTTGGATCGAGCCCCAGCTTTCCTGAAAACTAGACTTGCTAATTGCCTCACTCTTCCACTGTCAAAACCGTCATCTCACTGAACAGAAATACCTTTCCAATATTGCTATAGGGCAGACATTTCCACACTGGTAATACTGGGAGCCATGTTCAACCACCACCAGCAACTTGGTGGCCACCACCTTCCCCATTTGCACCCCTGTTCCCTTGTCTTGGAAAAAAAGAAAAGAAAAAAAAAAAAAAAAAAAAAAAAAAAGGAAAATAAAAACAGCGTTCTGGGAAAGTTTTTTAGGTTTTCTTTAGTGTGTTTGTTCATTTTTGGAAACAGAGGCCACCTTGTAGCTTATTAGCACTGCAGAGAGCACTTTGCTTTTCAGCTAGTGTCATATTTAGACAATAAATAAGCTTCAGAAATGGAAGATCCCATTTTCCTTTGGCATTGCCATAAATCAGGAAACACTTGAGCTATACCTGGATAAAACTCATGAAAGTAACTGAAGAAATCAGCTTTAGCAAGGTATACTGCTAATACAGTTCTTTTCCCCAAAGCAATCAAATTATGCTTATCTTATATTACCAGACCATTACTGGAAGTACTATGCCAGACCCTCAGCTGGCATAAATCAACATGACCCTATTCACTTCGGTGCAGCTGTGTTGATTTATGTGAGCTGAAAAGCATGTACTGGTCAAAAAGTGACTATTTCATCTCATAAAACTATAAAAGTGACTAAGAAATGAAAGGCAGTATGTATAATATAAAGAAAAAATTAGAAAGTACTACAGAAAGGCTCAAAGTAGATCTATATTTTATTAAAATTAGTCTAACATATCCACTCATTCTACTCCATAGGAGATTTTAGATAATATTCACTGTTACTGGACCCAAGTATTTGTGCAATTTAATAATGCTGTACTATTCCCAAATTAAGACGTAAGGCTCAGACAGTGGGTTCAACCAACCTGGAATTTATCACTGGTGTTTTTTGTAAAGTCACTGTGGCTGTCATAACATGAAACACCAGACTTAAAAGCAAGCCCACACAGCGAACTTAAGTGTTCAGATTTGCAGTATGGTGTCACATCTTAAGAACTACTCCTGTTACGGTCTTTCTCTTATAGAGCAAGATAAAAGTGAAAAATCAAATGAGATTCTCAAAGCTAGCACTTCTCTCAAGCCTTGGTAATTTTGAGAAATAGGAAACCTCTCATATTAGACCTAAGCACTCTTTACCCTTATGAACTCTGTGTAGACTTCCCTATTATTATACAGGCTACATGAGATTAACTATTGGTGCTCCTCTCCGAGCAGAGAAGGAAAGAATTGGTATTCTGAAGTAAGAGGTGTGTATTCCTAAATTCCTTTCTCAAGGAAACAGCTCTTGAGATTAGACAGTTTTCATTTTCACTAGGCTCATGTATCGCTGCCCCAGCGGTACAGTATCTGAACACTATACGAAGAGAGATCACGAAGCAAACTCTTTACAATTGTCTGTTCAATTCAGCCTCAGTGACCAGCTGCTAACAGCCACTTGGCAGACAACTGCAATCCATCATCCTTCACCATGAGTACTGGTACTTCAAATACAAATACTTCTGTATTTGATCACAGCCCACAACACAGGCTGCCAGGTACCAAAAAATGCATTCTGTTCATCCTTACCACTGCCTTACAGTGTAATGTATCCCATGGATCCCTGCCTACAAGAAACACTAGGATTTGTCTCTTCACAGTCTTGCCCTGTAAATACATTCACTGTAGGAAGCTTACAGAAATTTTCAAAAGTATGATTAACACTTCAGATACGGGTAAAAAATATGCGCTGTCTGCCGGGACAGATCAACTCTGCACCTCAGCAAGCGGCACTGCCACAACCTTCTGCTCCCCACTGATTCCTGGGCATTATGTTTTGTGTGGACAAGATGCACTTAGTATCACCTTCAATGGGATGCTGTATTCGATCAATTCACTGTAACACTTAACCATCTGGAATAATGGTACGTAATATTGGAATAAAATATGTATCAGTTTATTTAGGTATTCCCAATCTCTGAAATCAGTAGAATAAAAAAAAAAAAGGCCAAACCATAAAGCATTTAAAAACTTCCGTGTATATTACCATCTCTGCATAGGAATTAGAAATCCCAGTTAAATCCTCTTTTCCTCCCAAAGCACCTTTGCAATCTTCAAAAACATTAGGAAAGCGATGAATGGCTAAAAGATTTGAATGGCTCAAAACTACTTTTGAGTACATTTCAAATTATACATTTTCTTCTCTGTATAATTTTTCAGATTTTCTCCCATAAAAACACTATGCAAATGGCACTGGGCTGCGGTTACAGTTGCTTTCATGGCATGTACTCCCGCTAAGGCAAATGGAACCAACTGAAACCATTTCTAAGACAAGATTCCTGTTCGTGGCATAAGGGGCTTAAAACTGCACCCAGCACATACACACAACCAAAAGTACAGCCTGAGACTTCAAAGCACAGACTTGGGTTCTCCACAGGGACATTAATTGTGTTGAAAAGAGACTTTGGACTGGAAGCTCCATTGCAGCAGTGTCAAAGCTGGAACAAATGTGTGAGGGATCAAAATAGCAACGAGCACTGAAGTTTTCCTCCTTCAAAATGGCACAAGCCTATAGAGAAGCAGCACAAATGGTGTGTTCCTATAATTTCCATCTCATATCGTAGCTCCTTAACGTTACTAGAAACCATGCCAAGCTAATATTTGCCATTGCATATTCCCTCATTCTTTATGTTGGTCAGAACGTTTTAATTTAATAATGATAACTCAGAGCAATTTGGACATCAGTTTACAGTGCACCAAGAATATATCACAGTGAACTGTTTAAAAGAAAGCAAAGTATTAGGGCTTCTAAATGAAACAATCTAGTGAATTTGATTCTCTCTTAATTTTGAACTTGTGCTGTCATCTGCTCCAGTGAAATGATGCACCAACTTCTACTACCAAGTATTTGATGCACCACTTACTGTAAATGCTGCCTACCCAGTGTACAGGTTTCGCAGCTGTGATTCCCGAAGACTGAAATTAATATTTAAATCCTATTGACACCAACTCCTTTTTTCTCTCTTTTTTTTTTTTTTTTTTTTTTTAAGCAGAGTTGCAATTGTGGTCTATTTTATATTTGTAAGTATGATTAAAATTATTATATTTTGTGCCAGGCTATAATTTATATAATTGCATTCCTGTAAAACTTGAATTTATTTTTCATTTAGAAACAGACCACAATAAAAGGCTTCTGCACTGAGAATCCAGTTTTCTGTGTTAATTTAAAGTTTAATTTTAGAGTGTTTTCTACAGTCACAGTACTTTAAGGGCAGAGGAAAACTGTCACTGTATAAGAGACTTTTAATCAACCATGGACTCTTACTCAGACTAAATACCAGTATTAATTGTTCATAAAGTACTGCAAGAAGAAAAGGGATGATTAAGTAGAATTTAAGCTTCGTTGCTATTAAGGATTAAACAGAAAGGCGTTTTAAAGCCATGTGTTAAAAGCCATCTTGTTAGAAGGTATGGGCCATAATCCACAAATTTTTCAGGCTGTACTCATTAGTCTTATGAATTTAGAGGGTCTGTTATTTCTGCCTCTTAATTTGACATTTATACGCAAATAAAAATCTTGAGTACAAGTCACACCTGAAATTCATCTGTTATGCAGTTGCCCACCTAAATGTTTAGAAAACCTTCTTTTATTGTGTCATTTTAACATTTTAGCCTTAACTTATTACCAAGAGGCAAAGAAAACTCGGGGATATTATGACATTATTGCAGTGTCTTGAGAGCAGATACACAAAATCAGATACACAAGCCTCCCTTCAGCATCAGAGGGCTACAAAATGGAATATGGTGCTTGAAAGGGAAAGCTGCTGTTCTGCAGGCTCTGAGACTGCCAGGAGGGCTGCATTAAACACCGTGAGCAGACTACAAGTCATGACACCCTCCCTACAGAATTTTGGCAGTTTAAATGAAACCTGTGGATGCATTGTTTCATTTTTCCGGTCAGAGGTATGCAAAGTTGGGACAGTTTCGCATGGGTTTTCTAACCTCTCCTGGGGCTTTCGTGATTGAAGAGGATGCCGTTCACAGCAAAGAGATTGTAGGCCTCTCTGAAGTTCACCACAATCCAATAGGCATACAGTTTTGCTGCCCCTACAAAAATAATTTTAAAGCATTATGCATATCCGCTCTGCTTGTACGCAGCTCAGACAGACACACATACACATCTCTCTCACAAGCAGGGTGAAGTCCACATTTCAACAGCGGAGGGCATTAGAATTTGATTCATTCCCTATATGCGTCACATTTCATATGGAAAAAATATCCAGCCCAATAAACAGCAGCTGAATGGGAAAATACTCCTCTTCTGTGCAGCCTCTGAACTGGCCAGGAAGCATTAGGGCACTTTCTCACTTGTTTTCTTATGCATTCTCAAGTGTAGCACTTTTTCTTTTACAATATAATTAACACAGCCAGAGCATGTGAAATACGCCGCTGTGGTGACCTCTGCTAATAAAAAAAAAAAAAGACTTTGGAGGAATAAAAGTGAAAATCTGGTGCCTTAACACTCAAATTGATTTGAAACTTTATCACCAAAGTCCTCCATGCACATTGCTTTAATAAGTGTTTCAAATTTCATGCGAGTTCATGAAGGAAGAAGTGAGCTCTTGGGAGTTTTTCATTTAGGCAACAAAAAATATGAAACCTTATCACTTCAGCAGTATCTCACAACCCTTTGTGAAGGAAGAGCCACCCTTCCCCCCCTCTCTACAAGAGGTGTCTACCTGTGAGCTGAATGAACACAGTCTTGTGAAGTGAGATGCTAATTTCCAACCCCCGGGCAATGGGAGCAAATACTTTTTATATAGTAATTCATAAAGGTATGCCTCTCGACATGTCTAGTCACTTTAGCTCTATCGTCATTCTAATCTCACACCCAAATGACTTCAGCCCTGAGACATGAGCGGGGAGAACAGACAGACAGACACTACACGCACACCATCAGCGATCCTCACCGTAAGGCGATCTTGGGTAAAATGGGGTGGTCTCCTTTTGCGGGATTTCTTGCACTTTTCCAAAAAGTTCACTGGTGGAGGCTTGGTAGAACTTCACAGAGCTGATAAGGCCACAGGTCTTAATAGCATCTAGGAGCCGTAAAGTGCCAACCCCATCAACGTCAGCAGTATATTCTGCTAGGTCGAAAGAAATCTTGGGGAGAGAAAGAAATAAAAACCCACCAATTTTACTAGGGGAACCAGAACACGCCATGATCATGTACAACAAAACAAAGTAATACGCCACTTGTCACAGACGATCTAGACACTTTGTACAGAGTAGCTGCTCAGTTTACAAAAGTACCCTCAAAGGATTTCTAAGAATAAGCAAGTAGTTCCATAAATAGCAGAACCAAAAGACTGGTGTTCCCTGATCTCTCTCTCAGGATTATTTTCCCATGTGAAGTAAGGGGTAAGCCTCCCCACAGTGGGAGCACTATCAGGCTCTCTCTCATCTCCACAGCTGCCAATTTTCACAATATTCACTTGGGCTTAATATCTTTGACACACTTGAATTTGGTTAAAATTTTCCAGAGTATATTTTAAAAAAATAATTAGATTAGACAGACAGCATGATAGCATAAACATGTATTAAAAAACCCCACAAACTTTACACAAGGTCCAAAGTTTCGCAATTTAAACGCACATCAAAAAGGAGAGAAGACTAGAAATATCTGCTATCAAACGAGACTCCCAACCCCACCTGACTAAGGTGTACCAAAGCTGTGGCTTTTGCACAGAGGTTAGAGGGATGATGAAGTGGGAGAGCAAAGGGTGGAGGTATCCAAAAGAAACCTGACATCTCCTCCAACTGACGTATCTTTCTAAGTATGATAATAAACTCGTACACACTGCTGGGGCAAGACTCCTCTTTCTCTCCCCGCTCCAGTAACTCTCAGTTATCTTTATGATGAGCTTGACTGTGGCATAGGCCACAAGACAATGCTTGAGTCTGAGCTTTCAGAGTGTTTCAAAAATATATTAATTCTATTCCTTGCAGTTACAGCAGAAAACTAAAAACTGGAAAAAGTAAGCTGAAGGTAAGAGATGTGTTGTGGCCACCCCAATCTGCAGGCAGGAGAAAAAACGCTCGGAAGGGAGCTCACTCTGCTTGTTTGGTGGGTACAGACTGGTTGTTTGGACGTGCTGGTGGAGCTCCTGGACTCTGAAGAATTTTCTCCCACCGCTGCCCATCCCAGAGGCACGTTCCTCTTTCCTTCTACATCCTCTCTCCAACTGAGGGATTTTGCTTCTGTATGCCAGTTTTTGAAAAAAATGTTCCCTGTTTATACTGCCGATGTTATAAAAAAGGAAAGGGAATGGACCTTTAGAGGAATCTCCTCCATCGCCCTGACCCAAGGAAGAAAAACTCTACCTACGTCCCCTCTGGCCGATGATTGACTTTCAGGAACGAGCTTTAGGGTGATAGCAATGTTACAGTCTCTTTATATGATCTAGGCTAGTGGTTAGCGAGACACTACCAAAGTCATGTAGTACAAATCTATGATTCCCCCCTTCACTAGTGTTCAGTGATTGGGTAACTACCAATGGACTAGAGGGTAAATGACCATAGCTGGACAAGCTGAGCTATCACAGTGAAATCAGTGAGAAACCTGTCACTTACCAAGTATTTTTTCAGGCTCTCTTCAGATTCAGACAGATAGCCCTGTATTCATTTCTCCTGTTAAGCCACTTTCCCTATTCAGTAATCACTAGAGGTTTAAGGCTTATTTACACAGCAGATGAAATAAAAATAATTAGATTAATTTGAATTTGCACTTATGATTAATTTAATACAGGTATGAAATAATCTAAATCGTATTACTGTGCTCCAAAATAAAAATGTTCTCACACAGTTTTGATCTGAAATAGCTAATGGTATGAACAAAAACAAACTTTACTTTTTTTTTTTTAATCAAAAGAAAAAAAAAGAAACCTGATACTTTAGCTTGTTAACCTGGTATGACCCAGCTGAAATTGAGCACTGATCTACTGAGAAGTGCTGAGCATTTTTTGTTTTAATCCATTTGGCACAAAGATGACAGCCACTTAAGGTCTCTCAGCTTCGCTGTCAGAGTAACTCTTGGGAAAACATCTTAATGAATAGGTGATACAGTCAATAATGCACTAATGAACATAAATTAGTATATTTACCATATGCCTAGCACCTTCACATATTCACAGTAACATCCCAGCTCTCTAACTAAAGGCAAAACACTTACTAATTGCAGCAGAACCAGGAATTTACCTATATTAAGGTATTGTTTCCAACAAATAACCTGCTAAAAACATCACCCCAAAATACAAATCTTTGCTTACATATTCTACTACGAGGTAAATGGCACATGTAACTGAGGTGGTCTTAAATCAGAGATCCCAGATTATAAAACCTCTTAACCAGAGCGAGCAATGAGCCTGTGGCAGCAGCACTGGGAACTGCTCTGCCTGGCTGATGCAGAGACCAGTTTCACAAGAGATGCTTTTCCCTATTGCCTTATGAATGACCTCAATCTTCACCTAGAAAAATCACTCCCTGGGGTGTGAGGTAATTGTGCCTCCATGCTGGCCGGGTCTGAATGTCCCCAAGCAGAAACTGCCGGCTTTGTGCCTATTTGGTGGTTTTGTAATGCGGACTATTGTTCACCAGGGACAGGACTCTGACCACCAAGCTCATTCCATTTTGGAGTGCAGGTTAGACTAGAATGGCATTCATGAAAATAAAAAATGGCTTTATCCACTAAAACCTCCAACACCAAAAACTGGACTGTTAAGACAATCTGTGCAGTGTAGGGGCAGTAACATGGCAAATACAGATAAATGCACACTGGATTTTAATTTGATTCTAATTCAAAGTTAACAATGTAAAAGAGTTTTATAAAATACTGGATTGATTAAGTAGTTACAAATGAAGCAGGACAGAGCAGGAAAAGGTGCTGAGTTATCCATTACCACATTATTTCCCTCTCCTTACACACATTATTTTG